AATTATTGTATATAACTTAACTATTTAAAAAATATATAAAAATTAAAATAAGTAAATTAATTATGTAAATGTTATTAATATATTTATTATCAATATAAAAAATAATAAAGAAATTAAGTAATTATATATGTAAATATATACAACATTTATTATAAATAGTTTTAATAATTTATTTAATAATTTATATTTTTTTTTTTTATATATTAATCATTTTATTTTTTTCAATATAATTATTTTTGTAATTATTTAAATCTATTGTATATAAATTTTTAAGTATATTAATTTCGAATTTTCTTATTTTATTAATAATTTTCATTATCTTTTATCGATTATTTGATTATTTGATTTAAAGTGTTTTTTTTTTAAATAAAAAAATATGTCAATATTTTATTTTTTATGTAATGATAGTAAAATTTTAATACCAAAAATAAGATAACTGAAACAAAAAGCTAAATATTTATATAAAAATATTATTCAAACTTGAATTTCGTATTATAATATACTTATATACTGTAAAAATATTACAATAATTTTATTATAAATGTATTTATTCTAAGAATTATCCTGAATTTATATAGATCAATAACTATCATATTAGATAAACTTTAGTCTGATTATGGATTTTTATTTTATTTATATAAAAGAAAGATCTTTTCCTTAAAATAGTAAACTAAAGAAAAATGAAATTCCACATAGAGAATATGCAAGATAGTTAATTTTTAAATATAATTATAAAAAATAAAGAAATAGTTTTTTTCAAACATAAGTATATCATTATTTGAATTTCTAATTCATACAGATTTATATTAACAGTAATTCAATTTATTAATATTTTTTTTAATTATATTTACAATTTAAAATATTATATTTCTTCTATATATATTATATTAAACTAAACACATATATATAGAATTTTAGAAATAAATATATTTTTACAAAACATATTAATAAAAAAATTTTAGAGTCTTTAATTTAATATTTTTTTATCTATTTTCTAGCAAAATCTTCTAAAAAATAATTTGTAAAAGAATTCTATTTTTTTTTTTTTTTAAGAAAACATTAATCTTTTTTTTCAATTATAATATAAATAAAATTTAGTATTAGATTTATTTGATTTTAAAGATTAGTTTTTTTAATTAATGATTTTATAGATAGTTTTCTATAATTTAATATATAGGAAAATATAAAAATATATTTAGTAATAAAAAAAGTAGTAAAATAATAAAATAGGGAAAAATAGAAAAGTAAAAGAAAATTAATTTTTATTTATTTTATATTATAATATATTTATCTTATTCAAATCAAATCAAAATAAAATATAAATAATATTCAAATGAAAATTTTATATATAAAAAAATATATTAGAATTATTTTATCTAAATTTAAATAATATTTATAATAAAATAAAAGGGAATTTATTTATTTTTCGTTTTGTTAGATGCAAAATATATTATTTAGAACAAATAAATATAAATATTCTAATCAATTTTATTTTATTTATCTTGTCATATGCGATTCTTATATTTTTTTTTAATTTGTATAAAAATTTAAAAAATATTATTTTACTCTTTATATGGTCTATTTATATCAATATTAATGCAAAAAATTTGTTTTATGTTTTCTATACATTTAATTATTTATCTATTTTTTTCAAGGATATTTATAATAATTTTTTTAAATTTTTACTTTATATTTAAATATGATAAAGTAAGTTTAATTATAAAATAAATATTAAAACTAATGTAATATTTTATATTTATTTTATCTTAATGTTCAAAAAAAAAATTATGATATTATAATTAAATTATAATTATTTTGTTTTTTCTTTTAAAAAAAATATATTTTGTTATATATATTATTAAAAAAATAAAAAAATAATATTAAAATTTAATTGTATTGAAAATAAATATATAATATAACTTAATATTTATAATCTTTTTTACTAAAAATCATTGCGAAAAAATTTAAATTAATTAATATATAATTTATATGTTATTAAAAGTTTTTGGATTATTAAAATAATTTAATAATAAAAAATTTATAATAAAGTTAATAAAATTAAAAATTATTATCTTAATTAGCTTTTATTATAAATTATATTTAAAAATCATTAAAACATATATTTTTTATTTATTTATATTATTAAAAATGAATTCAACGTAATTATTATAAAAAGAGGATTTTGTAAAATAAACTAACATAAAATAATTAATATTATATATAAAAGTAAAATAATATCGATCATATTTATTAATTAGCTAACATGTAGAATAAATCGACAGACTAATTAAAAGTAAATTATTTGTTTTTAAATTTATGAGTTTAAATATATTTCATTAAAAAAATACATATTAAAAAATAATAATTAATTAATGAAAAGTAATAATAAATGAATAATTTTTACAAAAAGATTAATAATTTTTATTTTGATAAAAATAAAAAAGGAACTCATAAAACTTTTATAAAAATACGATTATTTTATTCAAATATTTAAAATAATTAAAGAAACAAATTCTTAATACGATTAATCTGAGGATGTATATTTTATAAATAAATATAATAAAATATACAAAACAAATTATATTTAATAAAAAAGTTTGTATAAACAATAACAGCTTAAAAACCACAAGATTAACATAATTATATTGACTTGGATGATTATTTAATAATAAAGTTAACCGAAACATAAATATGCGAAATATCAGAAAATTAATATCTTTTTAACTTAAAATGCAAAACTTTAAAATAAGAAAGTCAAGCAAAGTTAATATTAAAAATAAATAAGAGTTAATATGAAAAAATAAATAAAGAATTTAATCAGTAATAATAAATAAATTAAAAATTTACGAATTTAAAAAAAGCAATAAATTCATTAAATCTGTTAAAAAATGTTCATTTATAAAATTTATTAGTAAAAAACTTCGAAAAAATTGAGTTTTGGAAAGACTAAATAATATAAGGATAAGAGAGTATAAACTAAAAAAGCAAATTATGGATAATTATTAATGGATAATGCTTTGTTTAAAAATAAATAAATTAAAACTTTATTATTAATATTTGTACTTTAAATTAAATTTGTGTTTTTGGTGAAGAATCTCTTTTTTAAGATCAAAGTCCTAAAAATTCTTTTTACAAAGGTTAATATGCCTACACTATTACTGCTAAAAGTATGGTTGTTCGAACTTATGCTATTGAAGTATTAAAGTTTATTTAAATAGTCCCTTTTAGTATAATAGAAGAACTAAAAAATGCTTTTATCTAAAAAGATAATTTGAGAAGATAACTGATATAAAAAAAATTAGAATAAAGTAATTAATAGTATATAAAAAATAAAAATTATGAGGAAGAAGATGAAAATTAATAAATGCTATTAATAACTCCAAAGAAAAAAAGATCGTCTTAAAGTGCAGGAAATTCAGAAATATAAATGTTAAAAAACATATAAGAAAACATAAAAAAAACTAAAAATAATATACAAATTGCTAGTGAAGATTTTCATAAAAAATCAATTATATATAGAAATGAATATATAAATAAATAAACGTAAAGAAATGTTTCACCACCTATAAAAAAAAAAAACACTTCCTTGAAAACAAATTTTGAAAAAATATCCTTTGAAAAAATGTTGACTAAATAACTTAATTCAGGATTTGATTTTGGTTATTCGATAGTTGATAAAACTGATATTTATAATTTCAAAGAAAGGGAAATTTAAATTTATAAAATTAAATTGGGTATCCTTAAGGCAAATAATAATTTTAAACATCCAAATGTATAGGATAATATGTTGAAAAATGTCTTAAATTAATGTTATAAAGGAAGAAAAAGTAAAAAAAGTATCAGATTGTATATAGATAATATTTTAAATTGTCAAAAAATTTCTGCGAATGATATTTAATATAAAAAGACTTAAAATTCATAAGATGAAAATGATATTTTTTTATAAACGAATAAAAAGAATGATTATTTAAACTTTTTAAAACTAAATTAATAAAATAAGAGTTTTATATAAAGAGCAAATATAAAAAAATAATAAATTTGTTAATTTCAACAATAAATATAATAATAAATTAAATAAAACTAATCAATGGAAAATTAATAAATAAAAAATGTAAGTTCTTTACTAAATTTATCTAAAATTAATTTTATAACTACTAATAATTTTTAAGCATCTAATAAATCTTAAAGTTTTAATAGTGTAATTAAATAATAAACTAATTAACAATTTAAACCATTTTAAAACAATTAAAAAAATTTATCTTAAAGAAGTATAGCCAAATTTAGTTTTAAAGAATATTTAGACAAAAAGTAAAAAGAAAATTCAGCTTTAAGAAAAAGAGGATTATCTCTTAAATGATTTCTTCTTATATTTATATATTATATATATTATTTTTATAAAAAAATAAAACATAAATATTTTATATATATAAATTTAATTTTTAATTTTTAATATAAAATAATACGATAATTCTTTTGTTTTTTAAAAATTTAATAAATAACAATACACTATTATTAATATTAAAAAATGAAAAAAACATTTTTTCTATAAAAGCAACTCAGTTAATAAGAAGAAATATCCAAAAAATAACGCTCAAAGAGTATATTATCTATAAAAAACGTAATAAGATCAGATCGAAATAAAGATTTTTTTTCTTAAAAAAAAAACATCCAATTATCCTAATTTACTACAAACTCGAATAATTTTGTGCCCGTATATTCATCAATAAATAAAGAAAGTACCATTTTAACTGTTTAGAAAGCAGAAATATTAGAAAATATAAACGAAAAAAAGAACTCTGATAATTTTTATGCTAACTTTCTCCACTTAGCATTACAAAAAAATAAAACAAATAGGCAAAGCATTTTTAGTAAAAATCTCCCGAAAATAAAAAGAGATTTATCTTATAAACTCCTTGAAATAGTAAATGAGGATTTATATAAACAAGAAATTCCTTCTTATATGAAAACAGATGATCTTTTTAGTTCCGTATGGTAGAAAATCAGACAAAAACGTTCACAAAGACACTTATTTAAACTCTTCGAACAAAACTAAGACCCAATTTTTATCCACACATCCCAAAATAAAAATCTATAAAGTCTATCTTGCCGAAAAGATGCAGTAGAACTAGGAATATGGCTCGAAGAAATGATAAATGAAGTATTAAATTCCGATCTAGAAAAAAAAACTTATGAAGAATAATTTATGGATTTATAGGCTATTTACTAAGCTTGTATGGGGGAGATAGTTAGACAAGTAAGCCAATAATGTAGTGAAAGAGGCCATTTATTGAAAAAAATATGGGAAGGTTTAATGAAATTAATGTAGGAATTATTCGAAAGAGGACATAAAGAAAAAAAGGAATTTAAAAAAGAATTAGAAAAGTTTATAGGTAAACTAAAAGAAGGTTTTAAAGTAGAAATGGGAAAATTTATTCCTTTAATAGAAAAATAAAAATAATTACTAGAACATAAAGAATATGTAAATATAAAAATACTAAATGATTAAAAATACATGGAGAAAAAATGCTGTAAATAAGAAGCTTTTTTAGAATAAATTAAACTTGATTATGAGTTATTGAGAGATGAATATGCCAAAATTAAACATTAATTTGAAGAATATTAAAAAAATTTTCCATCCAAAAATGAAATTATTGATGAGAAAATACTATTTTAATAAAGCATATATAATATTAATTACAAAAAATTCTCATAATAGAATAATAAAAGATAAGAAGCCTTTTACGAAAATAATAGAAATTTCACAAAATAAATAAAAATGCAAGAAAACTAACATAGTCAAGAATAAAAATAATTTATGTAAAAAAATAAAATTGCTTTTTAAGAATTGTAAGATTTGGAAGAAAAAATAAATCTACTTTGGCAAATATAGCCTCCGGAATAATATTATGAAATTCCTTAAAATAATAGTAATGATAATAATAAACATATTAATTTTTAAGGAAAAGATGGTATTAAATATGTACTTGTATCAACAAGTTGTTAAGTTAATGATGATATTATAGATGTTGAGGACAAAAGCACTTCATGTTATGATTTAATTATTTATAGATGATTATACATAAGTTGAGCTTGATTTTTAGAATAAAAATACTATGACAAATTAATAAGTATGTATGTAAGAAATAGAAACATAAACTGAAAAAATAGTTTTTATGGAAAGAAATACTGAAAAAAATTAAAAATATTAAAATGACAATTTAAAAAATGATAATATAATAAAAAAAAAAAATGAATAATAAGAAAAAGAAAATAATGATAATAATAATAATAATAATAATGAATAATAATAATAATAATAATAATAATAATATAAATAGATTAAATATTTGACGAATAAATTAAATCATTAAATGTTTTTAATTAAATGAACGATAATTTAAAAATTGCATTCAATTAATAATAACAATATAATATTGATAAATATTTTGATTAAATCTAAAAATAAGATAATATTTATTCTCAAGAACAAGAAAATTTATAAATTAAAATTCTTGATTTAGAAATGGAATTATTTTAATTAAACTAAAAAATTTAAAATGTTCGTATTAATTTTCAATAAAATAATAATATTTTACCAACAAATAATAATATAAATTTTAATAATATGTAAAATTAAAACTTATAAAGTACTTTTTAAAACATTGAATCTAATTTATAATTTCCATAAAAAGCATAAACAAAATCAGATTTTTTTTCATTAAAAAGTTCCCCAAATAAATTTTCGGTATAAAAATCCTTAAAAATTATACAAGATAAAAATTTCAAAAGTTAAAACTTAGATAAAGAATCTTAATTATAACCAAAATAAAATTAAAACTAAAATAATATAGAAAATAATATTCCAGAAAACTAGGAATATATAACAACATAAATACTAAAGGAAGTAATATATACAACTAATAATAATAGTTCGAAAATAGAGCAATTATTTAAAACTACCTACTAATAAATATAGAAAAAATAATATTATTTTGACCATTTGCTTCCCACTAAAGCATCTTTAAAACAAAAATTACCAATTTTTTCAGAATAATATACCCGAAAATTTATTATATAAATATTTTAACATAAAATAAAACAAATAAAATTAGGTGAAAAATCACATCCATTAAATGCAGTAACTTATGATTTCTTTCTTTAAAAGTTCGGAGGATTTAAAAAAATAGCCGAAAAGAATATGTCTTAATTTTTAAGAAGTCTATACCATTATTAATATACAGAAAAAGTATCAACATTTATGTCTTTTTATGCAATTCATCCTTATAAAAATTACGAAACACAAGACTTTAATTTCTATATGAATAATATGTTTATTTTAGATGAAAACAATTAAGCTTTAAGCACTTTACCTGCTTAAAAAATAAATGAATTACTAATTAAATTATTTGATAATATTCTTCCCCAATCATATTTAAATAAGCTTAAAAATCTAATTGAGTATATAAAATATTTAGAAAGTTCTTCTGGAGTTACTAAATTTGTAGTTGAAGCTTCTTTTGGGTTAAAAATTCTTTTAGATGCTAAAATGGAAGTAAAGAAAAACTAATTTCTTAAAATTAAAAATTATCTTTTACTTATTGATGCCGATGAAGATTTAGCAATTAGTATAAATATCTTTATTATTTTTATTATTTTATTTTTATTTAAGGCAAAAATGAATTTAATTTTTTGGGTAAATATATTTGCCATAAAGAACATTATGATAGTTTCGGGAATTTTTTTTTCGAAAATGCAAATTATATTAATTAAAATACCCAAACAACGAAAATTAGTATGGAAAAGTTTGCTATTTTTGCTATAGAAAATAACATTTTTAAACCCATAGAAGTTGTTTTATATGAAAACTTTGACGATATTTAAAATAAATGGGTTTCTTTTGGATATTTATTTAAAGTTAGGATAATTAGAATGGGATTATATAACATTTTCGTGCGATAAATATATATTAAAATGAATGCAATTTTCTCTAAAAATATATTGTCAATAAATGAAGATGAGAAAATATTTGCTTTACTTGCTTTCTAAATACTAAATGAAGAAATTTAAAATAAATAAAAAGTCTTTGATGATATACATGAGTTTCTACCTGATTTTTTTATAGACTTGTAGAATATAGTACTTTAATTTATATGATTTTTTTTTCTTTAATTTTTTTATATTAAAATAAGTTTTATGCAAATAATTAATTCAGAAAATAAGCTTTTATTATAATAAAATTTTTAGCATTTTATTTATTTGAAAATAAATATATATTTAAAAATAATCTTTATGATTAACTTTCTATTTTTTATTTAGATTATTACTTTTAAAATAATAAAATTATATTTTTAAACTTCATTTATAAAAACTACCTTTCATTATTATGAACTAGAAAACAAATAGGTCTAAATAACCTTAAGTATAATTAAATATTTAATAATTATTTTAAGTCCAAAAAGTCCAATAAGAAATGAAATAGGAACTATACAAATAAGTGTATATATATATATATATATACAAATATAAATAATAAAAAAAAATGTACTTAATTTTTTATTTTTAAAATCTTGTTAATAGTTAGAAAGCATACTAAATCTACTATGACCAGAATATTTAATATTTGCAAGTGGGAATTTTTAAATAAGAATAGATTCATAAGTTCCAATATTGTCAATTAAACCTAAATTTAAAGCTTATGAGGAGGTATGTACTTTTAAAGCTTAATCATAATCAGCCTTTATTTATTAATTTATATTTTTAAGAAAAATAAAATATAAATTTAATATTTTTATTATAAAAGATTAAAGTAATTTTTGTTATTTTAATATAACCTTAAGTTTATCCCCACGTTAATTTTTTATATCATTAAATACTTTTTCGGCACAAAATTCTACATAATTTAATTAATTTTATTTTCCTTCTTCATTATTTGATTTTCTCCAATTTAATAAATGACCAGTAGCTTTGCTTTATATATATATATATGCTTTTTTAAAAAAATTAATTAAATATTTTTATTTTACTTATTCGAATATACTTCCCTATTTTCAATATTATTTTATTTTAAAAATTCAGAAGCATCAATATTTATTAATGTTTCTGAAATATTTCCAATAAAACTTCCAGGATTTGCATATACATTATCACCTTATTTCATGTTTTTTAATATTTTTGTTACTTAAATAAATATTTACCTGAACTTAAAACGTAATATCCACCTATATTATTGTTTATTTTAAAAATTTACTATAAAAATATTATTTTTTTATATTTACCGCATGTGGCGTTTCCTTCTGCAAAACAATATAATGGAATTTCATGTTTTTTAGAAAAAAGGGTAATATTTTTTCTTAAAGAATGACATTATGCATAATTACCTCCTTTAATTTTTAAATTATTTATATTACTATTATATCTCATTTTTTTTTAAAAGAAAATACCTTAAGAATTTATAATTAAAGTAATGCATTCCGCCCTTGATTTGTTTACACTTTTAAGGAAATTTTATACTTAATTAACTCTGTTTTATTATTATATTTTCCTAAACTATTATTGTATTTTTTATTTACGTATTTGAGGTGATTGGTCCTGATACTCTAAATACAGGAATATAAGAGCCTAATAAATATTTTCCAATAGAACCAAATGACATATCTAAATAAATTTACAATTATTTATTTTATAAATTTTTATTAATTTATTTTATATTAAAATATTAAAAAAATATATAAATATAAATATTAATATCAATATAAAAGATATATTTATTTATATTAAGATCAATTTAAAAAAAATACATTAATAATTCAATTAAATATAAAAAACAAAATAAATAATAAACTAAAAATATTTATAAATATAAAATAAAATATTTTTAATAAATTTAAAAATGAAAAAATACCTTTATAATTTCACAAAGCATTATTTTTCCTCCCAAAAAAGCTCTTTATTATCGCTTCGAATAAAAGATCTAACCAAATTATTAAGGCGAAACGAAAAAAAATAAGATTTAAAATTAATGAAACATTATTAAGAAAAGCTAATTAAATATAAATAATTGTAATTTAGTAATTAAATATATCCAGAATATGAAATTGATTAAGTAAAATTATCTGAAATATTATTAAATTTAAAACTTTATTAAAACGCTTAAAAAACTTTGCAGTAAACATTGGAAAATATAAATGATTAAGATTAAAAATTTTAAATTTAATTAAAATATATATATTCGCTTATTTTAGATAAAACTAAATTAGATGAAGCTTTAGAATAAATAGAAAATTTTAAAAGTTAAAATATATCAGAAAAAGAATAAGTTTAATTGAAGTTTTTTGAAGCTTTTTTATATAAATAAAATTTTGAATTTGAAGAAAGTTTAAATTTATTTAATTAAGTAGAATAATAAGTAGATTTATTAATTTAATAATAATAATAAAATAATAATTTATAACAATAAGAAGAAAGTAATCCAGAAAATTAAATAAACTTCTAAATTTTTAATAGTTTATATTTATTTATGGCTGAAATATATATCGAATAATCAGAATTTTAAAAAGCATTGATATATACAAATAAAGGAAAAGAAATAATAAATAAAAATATAGAAAACAAAAGCTTTTAAAGTGAAGCTTTTATCCAGCATTTATTTACAGAAATAGTAATATATTTATAGCTTTCTTAATTGGTTGAAGTACAAAAAATAATTTCATATATTAAATAATTTATGGATTAATTACCAGCTAAAAATACTATATAATTAGCATTTCTATCTTATTATGAAGCTATTTGTTTTACTTTTTAAAATATTGGAAATAAAGCTTTAGATAAACACTAAGAAGCAAAAAATGTATATAAATTTATTTTTTTTATTAATAATAAATATATATATACATATATATTAGATTTTAGAAAAAAACTAATGTTAAGATTATGAGGTTTATAATAAAATAATATATTAATAAGCTAGTATATTGATGGAAAATCATAATTATTAGTAGGCTTTGAAAATATTTGAAATTTTATAAGAATAAAATGAAATTATTAACTAATAAGATTCACTTATTTATACTGAAACTTTATTGTGTATAAGTTTTATTTATATATGTTTATAAAAATATGAATAAGCTTAAGAATATCTTTAATTGATAAAAAGCTAAGTTGAAAAAAAATGGAAATATAAATATTCTATTTAAGCTGATTTTAAAGTAATTTAAGGGGCTATATTTTTTCAAAATAAAGAAAACAGCTTAAGTACATTTGGACTTAATATTATTAGAGAAGGCTTATAAATTTATAAAAATAAAAATTATAAATTTGATTTTGGAAGAGTTGTTTTTTTATAAGCATTGAAAAAGCAAATGTTATTAAAAAAAATGTTCTAAGAAGCATTGTATATATGTATTGTTTTAGATTAAATTTACTTTTCAAATAAAATTTATGATTAGTAAATTAGTAAAATTTTTTAAAAAAGTAAGGAATAAAATTTAAAAGAAATTGAATTATATACGTAAAAATATTAAAAATGAAATTAAATATATAGCCTTAAAAAAAATTATTTTTATATAAAAAAGATAAAAAAAATATAAGAATATATATATATATATATTCAAAATATATATATTCAAAATAAATATTTTTTATGTTTTTTGAAAAGGAAAAAACAAAACAAAATAAACAAATAAAGTATAATATTTTCATTTGTTTTCTTATATTTATTATTATTTTTATATCTAAAATTATATATAATTTATATGATTTGATTTTATATGCATTTTTCTTTTAAATCATTATTAATAAGTTATTTATAAATTAAATATTCTCAGAATAACTATTATATAAGATTTTAGTTGTTTTCATCAGTAATAGATTTATTTAGTATACTTTAATAATTATGATTAGTTTTTTATTTTCGACTATTTTTACTAATGATTGATATATTTTTAAAAGAATAATTATTAGATTTATTTAATTAATTATTTTTTATTAATTTCGGTAATCTATAAAATATAAATTTTAATATATTAAATATTATAAAAATAAGAAATAATTTTATTTTATTATATATATCTCAATATAATATTATTTATATAATCTACTAAATATATTTACTTTTATACCTAATTTCATTTTGCTTTTATATGTTTTCAAAGCATTGAATTAAGTTATTATTTTTAATAATTTAAGTGCTATTAGAACTTATATTTAGTTTCCTTTAAATTTTTAAACCACTTTTTGATTATTTAATAAAAGTCTTAGGTCCATATATAATGGGCATTTCTATATTAGATTTGTTTAAATCTTTATAAATAACATCAATTTCATCGTAAAAATTATCATTAGAATTAATATTTTGATTGTCTAATTAAGGCAAATTTAAAATACTTTGAATATCTATCTCCTATTCAGTATATATAATTTTTGAGTTTTTAATTTTCAAGTTCATGTAATTAAATTACTAATCAACATAATCATCATATTTTTTAATCTTAAAAAAATATTATTTATTTCAATAAAAAAATAAAAAAATTAAATATTTACATTTTAAAATTTTAAAATTTTTTAAAAAAAGTTTATTATTTATTAATTATAATCGCTTATTTATTAATCAAATTCCTTAGAAAATTAAAAATTAAAAGAATATAATTAAATAGAATGCGACCAATTTAAATATTTTAAAAAATGAAAGCAGAAATTCAATAAATTTTCTTCTTATTAGAGTCTTTATAAAAAACTGTTATTTTTTATTGAATAAATGTATTATCTAATATCATTTTTTAGTTTTGTTAATAAACTATTTTAATAATACAAATTTTTAATTTATTATGAAACTATATCCTAATCTTTTTTTATAAGATCGTAAAACAAATTATACATTAGTGGAACTATTCTTACTGCAAAAAAGTCTTTTGAATCTATTGAACGTATATTTTCTTTCATAATACAATCTTCATACTTTACGATTCTTTATTAATGATAATTTATTAAATCTCTTATAGTTATTAGTTTGTTTAATTGTTAACAAAATATCTTAAATACATAATATAATTTTTTAAATAGATATCCATAAAATTAAATGAACTTTTTATAAAAATATTAGTAAATTATTATTTCAAGAAAAAAAAAAACTATTACTTTTTATTTTCTTCATCTTAAATAAGATATTAAGTAACTTCTTATATTTTTCTAAATCCATCTTATAAATTATTAATTGTTTCTTTAAAATAATCAATATCAAAATAGTACTATTGTTATTATATCTCCCATATATTTTATTCAGAATTGCTTTTACTTTTAAAAGCGCATTAAATTTCTCTTACAGTCCTCATTGAATACTTTTTTTTTTTTTTATATATATTAAAAATAAAATTTTAACTTCTAAATGTTAAATAAAAGGAGAGCAGTTTCCTATAATAACGCATTTATGTTTTCCACCTAAATATTCTTTAAAAAAGATAGTAAAAGGAGATTAATCATAATTAACAAAATGCACTTTTTTAATTCCAGAATTAATTTCATATAATGCTCTTAAACAATTATTAAAAGAAAGCATCGCATTATTAACTCCTCTGCAATTTACTTTTTCAATACTTTCATATGAAACAGTATCAACTAAATATAAATTTGCAAAAGAATTATTTTGAGTTTATTTTCCATCTTTTAATTTATAAACTATATTTTTTACACTAATTTTTATTATGAAAATATCTTTTTCAGGAAAAACACTAAACAAAGTAAATGCTTAAGAAAAATCCTTTTATTAGATATTAATTAAAAAATAAAAATAAAAATACTCTATTAAAATCTCTTTTCCCATTATTTTTTAAAGCAGTTTTTAATCCATAAAAGAAACTTAATTAATCCTCAATTTTTATTTAAGTTAACCCAGGAATGCATTCACCCTATAAAGTATTCTTACATTCCAAATTTTTGCCGGTATAAGCATACATATCCTTAAAGTTATTATTTTAAAAAGTGAAAAAACTCACATAAATGCTTGAATTCACATATTATTCCTTAGTGTTAAAGATTAATCGAGATACTTAAAAAACAAGCCCAGGATCACTTTGGTTTCCTATAAAGGTATGCGTTTTTCCTGAATCTTTACCGCCTGTTATAAATATTGAGGTACTTAAACCTTTAAATAAATCGCTAACAACCTCCTTTATTCCCATATTATTTAGTTAGTTAGCTTTAACATTATAAGGAATTGTATTTGAGCATCTTTTTTTTAATTTAAAATAAAATTAAGAAAAATTAGAGATATTTACCGATATAATTTATCTTTAGTTATTTATTTTAAACCTTTTTGTATTTCATGTCTAAATACAACTGTTTCTCTATCTAAAACTTCTACAGATATATAAGGGTTTATTATTTATTCTGGCAAAAATAATGGGCGAACCCTTGTTATTGCAATAAATGGTATATTTCCTTATTTATAATTAGGTTTTTAATTATTAACTATGTTATTTTATTCATTTTTATATTAATCTTATTGATATTTATTTAATATTTTCATATTATGTGTTTCTTTAAATTATCTTTAAGAAAATTATTAAATTTTATTTTAATTATTTTTATATTTATTTATAAATTCGTTTTTATATAAATTATTATTTTACTTTTATCTGATAAAATTTTAAAGAAATTCAACATTTTGAATAATTATTTAAGTTTTTGTTTATTTAATTAATCATTTATAAATGATTATATGATATTTTTTTAATATAAAAACATATTTTGTGTTTGCAAAAAATCTGATTTTTATATTAATAATTATTATTATTTGCTTGTTTATATATTTTTTTAGTATTTTTTATCAAATACTGTATCAAAAAAAAAATGTGAAATAAATTGGATATAGGGCTTTTTTCTAAATAATAAAAAAATAAAATATGAATAAATAATAATCGACTTATAGAAAATTTTATATATTTTAAGTATGTTAAGATAAAAAAATATTTATATACAGGTAGCTTCAAAAAATTTGCAAAACAATATTTTAATAATAGATTCGAATTATGTAATATGAATTTCGTATTATAAAAAATGAATATAAAACATTAAAAAGTATTTATAATTTAATATTATGATATAATTAATATACCAAACTATTAAAATAAACTTTAATTTAAATAAAATCTTAAAAAAAATATATATGCAATCCATAATTAGAAATTCTTATTTAATTTCTTTATTAAATTATTTTTTTAGAACTTAAATTAGGTTTTTTTGTTTAACATATTTACATTTTTAAAATAAACTAGAGTTAAATAGAAAATTTATTTTTTAAAAAAATAATAAGCAAAACTTAATAATGATAATCAAGAAAAAAAACTAGATACTTATATATTAAATAGATAATAGTTTAAAAAATACTATTAATAAATATATAAACATTAATTAAAATAAATTTAATAGATGTAAAAGATATATTTATTTTAGAAATTAAAATACTTTTAAAAATTTAGAAAAATAGTAATTCAGCAATGACAAATTAGAAATTAAAACCACAAATATTTAATTAAAATAATAAGAAAAATTAATAGCAAAATCATCTAGCTTCTAATTTGAAGAACATAAATATAAATTTAAAAATAACAAATATAAATTCAATAATAAAATATAAGTTGATAAAAATAAATTAAATTTACTAAAGTAATAATATAAATTACTTGATTATAATAAATATGATTTTTTTGAAAAAAATTAGAAATAAAAGTTATAAAAAAATACTTAATAAAAAATGAATTAAAGAAAAAATCATATATAGAATTAATAACCTAATGTTAAAAATTTGAGTGAAAAGTTATAAAATTAATAGAAAGATAGTTAATAATTAAAAGAAGATATAAATAAATTAGAAAATTAAAGATAAATATTAAGAACTAAATATTTAATTATAATAATTTTAGATTTTTGATAAGAATTATTTAATTAAAAATTAATTTAATTATATATTTAGAAATTTATAATATAAATAAAAAGTATTACAAATCAAAATAAATTGAAAAATTACTTACTATAGAAAAATAAGAAATAATCATAATATTAATTAATAAAACATGGAGTAATAAAAATAATTGGAGAACATTCGAAAAAATAAAAAATCTAATTTAAAAAGAAATTAAGATAAAATTAAATCTAAAATATAAATAGTATATATAAAATTTAATTAAATTTTAAAATTAAAAAATATATTTTTCATTTTTAATTCAAATTTATAAATATATTTAAAATTGTTAATTTGTTATAAATATAATTAATAACTTTTTAAAATAAATATACACAATAAAAAAATTTAAACGAAAAAAAAAAGCAAATTAAATTAAATGCAAAATTTACATCACAATATAAAAAAGATGAAAAATGATTAGTAATAATTTTAAGTAAGTTAAAAAAGAGATTTTATACTTGAAAACCGAAACAATGAGGGCTATTTAAGAAGAAGTATTCAAAGTAACTAAAGTGAAGAAAATATAAAATGCGATAGATGTTCAAACATTCCAAACGATTATATTTATTTGAATTGTAATCATAATTTTTGTTTAGAATGTATGGCAGTGAGTGTATTTAAAGGTGAGGGTAGAGTAAAAAAGTAACAAGCATAGTAAGGAAAAAATATAGATACAATAGAAATGAAGTGTTATTTATGTTTTTAAGATAGTGAATTAGATGCTTAAAGCATATAAGCAATAGACATGATAATAAATAAATACATGCAAGAATATGAATCACAAAAGCAAAGAGAAAGCTAAATAAGCACAAATACAGAAAGTTCACCTTTGATATAAAGTAAGAAAGAGTTAGAATTTTAATAAAAATAATTATTTACTTAGAATTTAGAAAAAAAGTAAACCTAAATAAATTATTCATAATTTACTACTGAAAATAATCTAACTCCTTAAAACAGTAATAATTCAGAAATTTAAAATTTCAAGAGTAATGTGAATTAATCTTGTCAATAAAATAATAACATTTTAAATATAAATATTGAATTATAATAATGTTTAATTCATTAGAATGAAGAACTAATTTATTTTTGTGATATATGCGAAAACAATATTATGTGTATAAAATGTCTTTAAAAAGGTGAACATAAAAATCATGATATTTATAATATCTAAAAAAATACAAGTCTTATTGATAAGAAAATGAATGATCTAATTTAAAAAATAAAAACTATATTGAAAATTAAAATCCAAATAATTAATTTATTTTTTAAAAAAATTAAATTAAAAAATTATGATTTTTTAGAATAATTAACTTTATAAAATATAAATATTCTCAAAAATGAAATATTATAATACGAAAACAATTTCTTATATTTTTATGGAAACCTATAAAAAACATAATTTTATTTGAGTTTAAAAAAAATATTTAATTAATTAAAATAAAAATATGATTTAAATACATAAAACACAATTGAATATTAAAGAAAAAAAAACTATACAAAAATAAAAAATAAAGAAAACATTTCAAAGATTAAATTATTTTAAGTAAATTAAAAAGATATAAATTAAATAAATTAAAAAATTAAATAAAATATAAGTAATAATAATTTTGAAAAAATACAAAATAATTATAAAATTATTAAAAAACAGGAAAATATAAAATAATAAAAAAACAATCAAAATTTAAATAAAAACATAAATAGTTAATAAAAAGATATAAACGAAAATCTAAATATAATGTTAAAATAAAATAACAATAATAAAAATAATAACAATAATAATAATAATAATAATAATAATAATAATAATAATAATAATAATAATATCGATTATATAGAAAATATAAGCATTTATAAATTAGATGTGTATAATAATAAAAAATAAAACACAGAATAATTAATGCAAAACTTTAACAAAGATAAAATATTTAATAATAATATAGTTAAGTAATAGTCTATATATAGAGTAGATTCGGTTTACGTTGGAGTATAAAATTAGGGTTAACATAATAAATAATTATGGTAAAGTAGTCATTTGTTAAAAAGTAATTGTATTAATTAATATAATAAAGATATATTATAAACTTTAAAAGAATAATAAAAAATTTTTAATTTAAATAAAAAAATTATATATAATTGAAATTTAAATATATATTTTATCTTTTTTCTTTATATATAAATAATAATATATATATTACATATAAGATATATTAGATTTAAACGTTATTTTTAAGATAATAATATAATATAATTTTTTATAATATATGTATTTTAATATTATATACCAAAATTATTTTTTAAAAAATATATTTAAAAAAATTTTTGCTTTATTTTATTAATTAAACTTCATATATATAATTTTTTAACTCTTTAAGAAAGCAAATAAATTAACCATATATAATAGGCTCATATATATTTATTTTATATTAAATTATCAATACCGCCTTAAATAATTTCTAATTTCATATTAATGTCAATATTATTTTCTTTATTAACATAAAAATTTTTAATAATATCCATGTGACTTTAAATATATAAAATTTAGCTTTTAGCAATAATATAGGTAAAAATATTAAGAAAATCTTATACATCATAATTATTTAATAAATCATATTACCTAAGAGCTTAGTAAACACTTTCAATGCTTTCTAATACGACTTTTATTTTTTCAATAGGTGTTTGAACTAATTAAATATTTTATAATTATTTAGTACTTTTAATATAAGGATTAAATTCAATATTTGGTTAATCTTAAATTATTTAATCATCATTATAAATTAAATCATAGTTTAAAACATTTTTATTTTAATTTTCATTTTCATCTTTAATTTATATTATTTCTTCTTTTAGTGATTGAAATTTTTCTGAAGGAAAACTAATAGAAAAATTAGCGTCAAACATTTTTAAGTTAATTTTTTATGAATTTAAGCAGTTTTATTGCCAAATAAAGAATTTAGGATTATTCTAATTTTTAAAAATAAAGTTATTGAGGACAATTCTATATAAATTTTCGTTTTTAAAGATATGAGCTGCTACAAAATTATCAAAGTTAGAATTATTTATAAATTCTTGAATTGATTTTTCCTAATAAGTGTTCAAATTATAATACAAATGTATTACTTCGGTAAAAGTTTTTATGAACAATTATATTTCTTCAATACTCTTTTCAATAATTTATTAATTATAATTATTTATATTACTATATGAATCAATAAAATATTCATAAAATAATTTCTTTACAAAATATAAAGGAAAATTATGATTTTCTAAATGTTAATTAATCTAAAAAAGCAATGTCAAATATATATTTTAAATTTTCGTATCTTAACCGGATTCAGATTCTATCAAGTATATGTTATTTGCCTTTTATTAATATTATTATAAACTAAATTCGCTTTAATTATCGTTTTCTGTAAAACTTTAAAAAGAATATTATATTAAATGGTTTTTCAAGCTTTTAAAATCATTATTATTTATATTTTAACTACTTCTCATTATTGAATTGTTTTAAAGACTACTAAGTGAATAAAACTACAGCTTTTTTTATTGAAATTAGTTTGAATCTTCTACTAATATACTATTTTGATATTCTTAATATAATTAATTAACATATTTATTTAATTGTAAATATTTTATTTATTACTTTAGAGTTATTTTAATATTTCTATTAATTATTTTTTAAAATCATTTTTTTCCTAAAATTATTAATTTTATATTTTTTATTTAATTTTTTAAGCCCATGGTTAATTTTATTTTATTTATTCACATTTATCAATAAAATATATTAGCCAATCCTCTTTTTATTATTTCTTTTTTAAATTAAGTCAATAATTAAATTTTAAATTATATATATTAAAAATAATAAAGTAAATATTATTTTTTTACTAAACCTTATTTGCTGCTATATATGCAGCAAAACACTTAGTTATCTTCTATTTCAATATAACTATTATTTTTAGACCTTTTTATCTCGTAATTTGGTTTTTGTAATTTTATGCTTGTATTATTTTAACCCATAATAATTAAAAATAAACCTTATATATAATATTTCTTTTAGTTCTAATAAATAATATAATTAAATAATGAATAATTTATATATAGAAAAAATAAAGTTTTTACTAAAGTATATCTGAAATAAAGCATTTTTAAATATAATTAATATTGTTTTTTTATAAAAATAAAAAGCGCAAATTATTTTATTTAATTTGATAAAAGAAAATGAAATACATTTTTTGCTTTGATAAATAAAAATAATTAATTAATTTAAAATGGAAGAATTTGCTAACAATATAAAATAAAAAAAGAATTAATTAATCAAAAAGTTTTTTTAATAATAAATTTAATCTACTTATATTTTAATATATCTAGATATAAAAATCATTAAATATAATTTACAAATCTTTATAAAAATTATATTGTTTTTCTATATTTTTTTGATATACTTTAAATTTTAACATTTTTTTTTATGTAATATTAAAAAATAACATAAAAACACAAATAAAGCAAACCAAAAAAATTCTATTATTAATTTTTTTTGAGTTTTTATTTTTTTAAAAAAATATATTAATCATAAAAAAAAATTAATATTATACTATTAGGATACATTGATTAATTTTTAACTAAATATTTTATAAAAACACTAAAATATAATTCAAATAACTTAAAAATATTTGTAATTTACTTAAAATAAACAAAAATATTATATTATAGTTTTGTGTAAATAGAATTCAAAAACAAAATAAATTGCTTCTTAAAATCTATAAATTATAAAATAAAATTCAACTCCTTTCTAATATTTTTTTTATATTGAAATGAATTTTAAAAAAATATATATTTTATTAAATTACCAAAATTTTCGTTTTAATAATCTTATTCATTATCTTCTTCCATTTTGTATTTAACAATATCTTTTTTTTCAAACTTTTTTTCTATATTATCTTATTGTTAATTTTCTTTATATTAATTTTATTCCTAAACTTAATTATTTTCATTATTTAATTATTATTATTATTCATCTAATAAATTTTTTTAAATTTCCAATAAATTTTCATTTTAAATTTCTTGTTAATTATTCATATATTAGTTTTACTTTAATTTAATTTCTTTGAAATTTTCAAAATTACGAAAATCAAAATCTATTAGAAGCTATTAATAATTAATAAAATTTGAATCTTTAGTATATTCGAAAACTCTAGTCATAATATATTCGTATTATTTTGAAGAGAAATCAGCATCATAATAATTAAAAGCTTTTTCCAAATCTTCTAATCTACAAAAGCCTTTCTACAAACCTAATTTTTTTACACCTTCAGTAATACTATCTTTTATTCCTTATTAATATTTAGATATAGTCTTTTTTTAAAAAAATAAACAAACATAAATTTTAATACAAATTTATATAATTTAAACTTTTGATATATTTTCATGCATTTGTATTTCATCTTCTAATTTAATAAGCTCATAATTTCCAATTAATTGTTTGAAAGAACTTTTAATTGTTGAAATATTATTACTTCTATTTTCATCATAAATTATTTTTTCTTCAGAATTATCTTCAACTAAATACCTTGCGATTAAAATTGTTTATTCTTATGATTTAATATCAAAGGGCTTTCTATATTATTTATTAATTTTTATTTTTTGTTAATTTAATTTTTTACTTTTTTAAAATATGAATTAATTCTTAAATAGTCATTCTTTATTTATTATAATATTCTTCAGGTATAAGATATTATTCTATTTCTTTAAAAGCAATATTTTTTAATTTCAAATTATATTTTAAGTCTTTCCCGAATTTACTAACATCACAATTATTTACTTTTGGAAGTAATTTTTTAGAAACTTAATTAGAGTTTTTCTTATTATTATTTTTTATTATTTCAGGTAAATTATTGATTGAATTTTATGTTTATTAAGATAAATTATTTAATAAACAAGATTAATTTTAAAAACTATTTGCATTTTATTTTTATGCCAATTAATTATATTAATCTTCTAAATAT